ATCATACAATATACAACATATTATTTCAATATCTTATTCTTAAACATGACTATTTCAATGCTTTTAAAATGCAACTAAACATTCAGCAATTCCTTGAGTTATAGAAGAAAAGAAATATCGTAAATTATAGAAAACCTTGTGAATGTGTATTAGAATTACTATACAATCTACATTTTATTATGTATTTCAAGCACTTTTTTTGTCTTCAAACTTTCTTGCCTAGAAGACTCGATTAAAGCTGTAAAAATGATTATCCCTAAAATTTTGTATGTAACTGTAATAAATTATGTTCATTTGATTTTAGTATAAAATCCTCGAATAAGTATAGCAAAAGCAGTGTAATCTAAATAATATCAGATAAAAAGTTCATGTATTTAAATTCTAAAAACTATCATAAATAATTTATAAATCGATTCAAATTTACTTTTCAAAGGAGATTAAAATAATATTTTTTTTGCTTTTTGGACAGAAATCCCCTAAAAAAATTGTTTATGGCCTGGAAACTTCGAGATATTTTCTATTAACAATAAATTAAGCCCCTCCGAGCAATCACTGAACATTATTTCAATTTTTTTACTATCAGAGTTTGGTTGCGTAGCAACCTAGTAAAATTAAGCACTCCTCTTTTGAATTAGTCAATGGGTTATCTTAAAATATTTATTTGCGCAGGCGACTTTTTTTGGCGGTTTTCTGGACTATCGCCAAATATATAAACCTTTATTGCGGCCCAATTTACCACCCAATTTTTTTAAAATTTTGTCTACCCCCCCTAATTCAAGTGTCTAGATTCCAAATATGTAAAAAAAAATATATGTTTATTCAGAGAAAGTACGTTTTTGTGTCTGATTTCGTAACTTAATTAATAGTTAGCACTAATTAATTAGCATATTTGAGGTCACCCCCAGGAACCATTAAGATTGACACTTAGTTCGTGAAAATCCGATCATTAGAACGAAAGTTATTCAGGGTGATTTGTTTTTTTTTTTGCGGACTGTACCTGAATCTAAAAAGAATCCATAAATATATTCAATCGTTCGTTATTTCTAAAAGAAGGAGTCCTTGTACAATGTTTTATTTCAAGTTATAAAGGAGCTTTTAATAATTTATACATTTTTAATAAGAATAGCAATTGTTTATTGCCTAGAAACTTCGAGATATTTTCTATTAACAATAAATTAAATCTCTCCGAGCAATCACTGAACATTATTTAAATTTTTTTTACTATCAGAGCTTGGTTGCGTAGCAACCTAGTAAAATTAAGCACTCCTCTTTTGAATTAGTTAATGGGTTATCTTAAAATATTTATTTGCGTGGGCGACTTTTTTTGGCGGTTTTCTGGACTATCGCCAAATATATAAACCTTTATTGCTGCCCAATTTACCACCCAATTTTTTTAAAATTTTGCCTCCCCCCCTAATTCAAGTGTCTAGATTCCAAATATGTAAAAAAAATTATATGTTTATTCAGAGAAAGTACGTTTTTGTGTCTGATTTCGTAACTTAATTAATAGTTAGCACTAATNTTTTTTTTTTTTTTTTTTTTTTTTTTTTTTTTTTTTTTTTTTTTTTTTTTTTTTTTTTTTTTTTTTTTTTTTTTTTTTTTTTTTTTTTTGCGGACTGTACATCAACTGTCGGCACCGCATGTGGCCCTCGGGCCACAGGTTGTGCACTCCTACCTTAATGTATTAAAAAAAAATCCGCAAATAAAACTTTATGTAAATATTTGGATACAAAAGGTACACTATCACAGTATTCTTTTATTCACACAGCATTAAATAAAACATGCATGCAGTACATAGTCCCAACATACAAAGGCAGCATACACATTTACAATGCACAAGAGATAGACAACACGATTGTAAGAGAATTATTAAAATATTTCAATTTTTTTTCTTATATCAACAATTTCAGAATTTTCTCTAACATAATATATAAGTCACTGGGCCCATAAGAAACAAAATTTACACATACGATTAATATGTAGCCAATTTATTACAGAGAACATTTATTAGAGTAAGGGATCTTCAACCTTTTGCACTTGAGGGTAACAGCAATGAATATGTGAAAACCCCAAGGGCCATAAACGCATCTTCGAGAAAATATTAGTCTAAGAAATAGATCAGCAGAAGGTGAGATAACAGTTTATTTTGATGCAGGTTAACCCACTTTATACCAAGCATAGAAATTTTCATAAAATGTATAATTTTTATGACAAAAAAAAGTTCGTGCGTAAAAAATACCTAAGAAATTAAATAATTCATTTATGCAATATTGAGGAAATCATTTACCAGAACACGTTTTTTAGTTTCATTTTATTTACAGAAACCGCAACTTTAACCCATTATAAAAACAAACGCAAGTGGAATAATTAAGCATTTTTAAAAAATCGAATTTGTCAATAACAGTTTTAAATTTAAAAAAACTTGCGTATATAAATGTCAACAGGAAGTATTTACTCCAATTGAATTGCTAATATTTTATAGACACATTTAGAGCGCTTAAAAATAAAATTAGTCAAAAATATAATGTTAATGAAAATATATTCATCGAAATTATGCTTTTACGCAGATTTGGGCGAAAGTGGGTTAAGATTTCTACCTTCTAATATGTTGTAATTTTGCAAAAATATCTATACAAAATTAATAAAGCCATCATTTTTTTTAGCCATTTTTTGCTAAACATTTACATACTAACATTTTACAGAGCAAAAAAACTTAAAAGGGAAATACAATTTCAGACTTAAGAGGATGCAATATTGAGGGATTAATTTCAGAGGGCTAATTCTGTTTTACCCGAAATTAAAGTTCAGAGAAAAAAATATTTCAATCAAAATACTAACAAATTTTTGCGAGATCACTTCCTCAAATCCTGTCATCGTTTGTTTGCATTTGAAATGTCAAAATTAACTCTAGGCTAACCAGAACGTACCTAAAAAAAAAAAACTTATTTTTAGGAAATAAACTNGTTTGAAATTCCGAAGAAAAAAAAATATTTCAATCAAAATGCTAACAAATTTTTGCGAGATCACTTCCTCAAATCCTGTCATCGTTTGTTTACATTTGAAATGTCAAAATTAACTCTAGGCTAACCAGAACGTACTTAAAAAAAAAATAAACTTATGCACCTTGGAAGTATCAATTCTCAAAGCATTCACCGAACAACAGTGTTTTATCATTTCTGTTTTTTTTATTATAAATATCAACTATGAATTTGCAAAACTAGTAGTGATCTGAAATAATTTTTANAGTTCAGAGAAAAGTGAATTTATAGAGTAAACCATGAAGTTTGAAATTCCGAAGAAAAAAAAATATTTCAATCAAAATGCTAACAAATTTTTGCGAGATCACTTCCTCAAATCCTGTCATCGTTTGTCTGCATTTGAAATGTCAAAATTAACTCTAGGCTAACCAGAACGTACTTAAAAAAAAATAAACTTATGCACCTTGGTAGTATCAATTCTCAAAGCATTCACCGAACAACAGACGCATTCTTATTGTTTTATCATTTCTGGTTTTTTTAATTATAAATATCAACTATGAATTTTGCAAAACTAGTACTGATCCGAAATAATTTTCATTGTGCAGCCTTTTTGAATTATCGTTCTAAAAACAAAACGGCTCGTGGTTGAAGACTCCTCCTACAACAGAAGGGTAAAAATGCACCATTTCCATTCCATACATTCACTAAAAAACAACAGCTTATTTTTAAAAAAAAGAATTCATCAGGATGAATCAATTTGGCACAAGCTTGATTCAAAAATCCAAAGCAGAAATAATTTAAAACCTCAGCTTCTGGCAGCAGGGCCAGTTTTTTTCCCCCTCCTTAAATGACTTTTGCTATCCGGAACCAAATATCGAATTAAATCTTATGACCCGAATTCAAGCTTCAAGAATCAAAAATATTACTGCTGAAGGGATATTGCGTAGGATGGAGTGCCTCTTTCTGTCAAAGAAATATCAAGAGTTTGTATTGTGAGCAGTGGAAATGACACAGCATCAAATTTTATCTGTGTTCTAACTGAATTTTCGACAAATACATAAACATGGGTAATCATTACAAATTGTATTTAAAAAGAAAAAAAACGTAAAGAGCATTTTAAAATTAAATTAAAATATTTGCTTAACAATTTCACCATATTTGAAATGCATTTACAAATAATGCTCTATACTTAATTTTTGCTCTCTCGCCAATATTTTTTAATAGCAAAATATACAAAAGCCGTAAATTTGGAGAAAATGCTTAAGTCACTTTATAGAAGTTCTCACAATTAATTATTGATTTGTATTTTCTGCCTATTGAGTGTGAAATAAACTAGAAAACCGATAATATGTAATGAAGTCTATTCAAAAATAGATTCATCAAAAATTATCGTTTCAGTTGTTTTTATGGGTAGCAATTTCTTAATTTATTTCCAAAACATTCAAGTCCTTTTCTCCTCCTCCCAAATCTTTAAAATATTAAATGTTTTGTTTCAGCTAAAAAAAAATGGATTGGTAAAAGAGATAGATCATCGTCTAGAGAAAGTTGAAACTCTCTTGCAAGAGCTGCTAGAACCTTTCTTTAGCTTTTATCTAAAATTGTTACAAAAAATATTTTCAGTTAATTGGGGGAGGAAAGGGGGAGCTAGAAGAATGAATAACTAGTAAATAAGGGGAGAAACCCCTTTTATATCTCCTGCACACATTTAAGAATTTTTCACTTCTGAAGTGATGACGAAAATAAATTGTTTTTCCAAGTTCAGTTCATCGACATAAAATTATAGAATTGCAGAAAATGAGGATCATATTCGGATTTCAAGCAGGGATGTTCATTCATAACAACTGGGACACAATTCTACTTCAAAATCAGCAGAAGGCAGAAATATTCATTTTCTTTGATTTAATGAATATTTTGTTATAGCATAAAATTGACTGGAAAGATAAAAATAACATTTAATAATTTTGACTTTGGAATTTTTTTTGGTTCTAAGATCATTTTAAAATAATGCTCTCGTTTTTTTTCTTCAATTAATACAAAATAAGAAGAGCAAGTGAAAATTAATCTTTCTTAAGAATGAACATTTAAGCGTTATGACAAAAAGGTCAGTAAAAAAAATATTGCATTTAAACCTTACCAATTTACAAAAGGTAAACTAAGAGTATACACAAAGTTTGATAACAAGCAAAATAACTTTCTTCAGACTAAAAAATACATTGTATACCAATAATCATGCACATATCATCCTATAATAACATTAAGCAGTTCCGGATTAACCTATAGGCACAATAGGCACGTGACTAGGGCCTACGAAATTCAGGGGCCTACGAAAAACTTGGGAGAAAAAAATTTGTTGACAAAAATAATTTAGCTTTAAAAAAAAACAAATGTATTTTGCACAAAATTATGAAGATACATATAAAAATATAATATTTTTCGGTAATAAATTATTTTGTAGAATCTTATGATCTAATACGTATATTACTTTTTCGCGATTTTTAGATTCAACGAAATCTTGTATTAGCTGTCGAATTCCAAAACTACGCAAAATGTCGTATTCAATAGTGCGAGTGATGCCAAACGATCATTGTTGAACGCAAATAATTTTTTAGCAATTTTAATCTGGAGAAAGATCTTTCTCCTTCTGCATTTGATCCAAGAATCGACAAATATATTCTTAATACAATGTGAACGCTAGGAAAAGTATTCACTAAATTATCTTTAACATTGTTATCGATCGAACTAATCATAATGGTAACATCGATATCAACTGCAATATCGGCAGTATGTCGGTGTTGCAGATAAAGTTCGATAAACAAGTTTGTAAATTAAAATCCATATTAATAAAAATGTAAAAAAAAAAATATGCAAGAAAATCGTAGCATATATTTTGAAAAGAGGAGAGGAGTGGGGGAAGGAGGGGAGGGTCCAAAAACGGCTATGCCTAGGGCCTACAAAAGGTATATTCCGGCTCTGGCCATAATAGGTTCCATTAGGTACCCGCTTTAAAGTTCTTTAAGCTTGATATTCGCAAAAGCAGCGTGTGAGTCATAGCGTGGTTGGAAGCGCGTCGGGCTAGTAAGCAAAGGATCTGGGGATCGATATTGGCCGAAGATTAATTTTCAAAACTGCGATACCGGTCAAGGGTTAATTTTTATTTATTTAATCTATAATATTTTTTTGGATATCATTTTCGATATTTTTACGTGAATGAAGTGTTCAATATGTAAAAATTATTATTTTTCTTTGGGAAAGAGTCAATATTTGCTAAAAAGAGGATAAATTTCGGCACTGAAGACTCGCATACGAATCACCCCGTATCTTCCTTTAATATAAACTTACAATTTTCTAACTCGGCAAGAGATTGGTGTTTAATATACTAGACAATCGTACCAAAGAGAATTTTTATAGACATATCAGGGGGCCTTCAATGTCCCTTAATAGATTCCATTAGGTACCCGCTTTAATGTTCTTTAAGCTTGATATTCGCGGCAGTAGTGTGTGAGGCATAGCGTGGTTGGAAGCGCTACGGGCTAGTAAGCAAAGGGTCTGGGGATCGATACTGGAAGACGATTAATTTTAAAAACTGCGAAACCTGTCAAGGAATAATTTTTATTTAATGATTCTATAGTATTTTTTTGATATCTTTTTCAATATTTTTACGTGAATGAAATGTTCAATATATAAAAATTATTATTTTTCTTTGGGAAAGAGCGAATATTTGCTAAAACACGGATAAATTTCGGCACCGAAGACTCGCATACGAATCACCCCGTATCTTCCTTTAATATTAACTTACAATTTTCTAACTCGGCAAGAGATTGGTGTTTAATATACTAGACAATCGTACCAAAGAGAATTTTTATAGACATATCAGGGGGTCTTCAATGTCCCTTAATAGATTCCATTAGGTACCAGCTTTAATGTTCTTTAAGCTTGATATTCGCGGCAGTAGTGTGTGAGGCACAGCGTGGTTGGAAGCGCTACGGGCTAGTAAGCAAAGGGTCTGGGGATCGATACTGGCCGACGATAAATTTTAAAAACTGCGATACCTGTCAAGGAATAATTTTTATTTAATGATTCTATAGTATTTTTTTGATATCTTTTTCAATATTTTTACGTGAATGAAATGTTCAATATATAAAAATTATTATTTTTCTTTGGGAAAGAGCGAATATTTGCTAAAACACGGATAAATTTCGGCACCGAAGACTCGCATACGAATCACCCCGTATCTTCCTTTAATATTAACTTACAAATTTCTAACTCGGCAGGAGATTGGTGTTTAATATACTAGACAATCGTACCAAAGAGAATTTTTATAGACATATCAGGGGGCCTTCAATGTCCCTTAATAGATTCCATTAGGTAATCGCTTTAATGTTCTTTAAGCTTGATATTCGCGGCAGTAGTGTGTGAGGCATAGCGTGGTTGGAAGCGCTACGGGCTAGTAAGCAAAGGGTCTGGGGATCGATACTGGACGAAGATTAATTTTTAAAACTGCGATACCGGTCAAGGGTTAATTTTTATTTATTTATTCTATAATATTTTTTT